CAGCTATGAATACTAGAATATTATTGTTATCTTCGAGGACGCCAGTAGTGCAATATAGAAAACGAAGTTTATTTATCAAAGAATTTGCATTAGAACTTTTCAAGGATCACATTCAAGAAAGAAGCTCGCAGCAAAATTTCCACGCGAATTGAGTGAAAAATGAAATTGCAGATATAGGGAAAATTGGGAAGGACACTCGCCAAAAAAACAGGAGTGTTCTAGGGAAAGATGCCATATATGTAATAGCGTAAAGGACCGAAAACCACAAATTTGCTGCGCTAAGTGAGAGAAAAATGTTTGCGGTAAACACAGCGCGATTTTTTGCAAAAAAAATGTGAAATGTAAGTTTTTTTTTGAAAATATTTCTGTAAAAATTTAATATTACATAAATTAGTATTAAATTTCGTTTGCTCACAAAAAGAAATCAGTCTGATTTTTTCTGTTAATGATAAATAATTTCAATCTTAAAAGTGTATTAAAATACAATTTTTTTAGAATTATTAAATTCAAAGTATATTTTTATATTTATATACTATTTTTATTATTTAATTTTTTTCTTCGATTACACAAACAATTTTATTTTTATTTCGTTAAGAAATAACGTTTCGGACCTACGGAGCCCGACGCGCGTCCTCGCGAGTAAGAACGAGAGAGGGGAACTGTAAAGCAAGTCCCGACCAGGTGAAAAATATTATAATTAAAATGATTTCGAAACCTTAAAGTTTTTGGAAAAGAAGTGGAAATCCAGAATTAACGCCGCCCGCTCCACCCCCAGTCGAGAACAAAGGACTACCCTAACTTCTGGGTCCCGAAAAGAAGGAAAGAGAATGGTCAGACTCCAGCAGTCAAGAAGTGCAGGAAATCAACGCCGCCCTGTAAAGAATCTTTGGTAGACAGCAACAGGAAAAGATCAGGTACAAAATCCCACAGCAGAAAATCTGCGTCAAGGAAACCACTTCCAGGGCCAGATAGTCAAAACCAAACAAGGCTGTCGTTCATCAGAAGAAAGAGACATCAAGAGGAACGAAGGGATTTGGACCAGCTGAAAATAATTCAAGCAAGAATCCAGACCGGAGGCGGCCAAGACCAGCCGTCCAGGGGCCAAGCGGAAAAGACAGGACCCGAAGACTACCACCTCAAAAGGCCGGCATACAGAGGGCGAAAGAGGAAAGTGACCATGGAGGAAATTGAAAGAAATCAAAGAAGGAGGTTGACTTCCATAAATTCTGTAACTTGGGATCAATTCTGCCAGAAGAGGATTGCGGAGTTCCAAGCATCGAAAAGTCAAAGATAAGTTAAAATCTTCTATAAATTTTTCTTTTGTTCTGAACTGTTATGTGTAAATACGAAGTTCTATGTGTTGACGGAAGTCAATTTGTCTCGGTTGAGACTTAGTTTTGTTTTACTGTATTTAGCTAAAGCAAAAGCATTATTTTCTTTAAGTGTAATATCTAAGAACAAGCAGTTCATGTTGGTCGAAAGACTGGTTCTGTTTTATGTTAAAGCCAAAATTTGGCCGAATGTAAAATAAGCTTCGTATTCTTGTATTAATGGAAAATTTAGTTTCAGTGCCGCCAGCTTGGCGAAGAAAGTGTGAAGTAAAATTTTATTTTCTCTTATTCATCTTATTGTAAATTGTAAAAATCATATGTATTAGAATTTTGTAAATATATGTAAATACTTGAAAGTTATGTAAAAGTAAAATTTAGTCTAGAAGCATAAAATTTTAGATGCTAAACGTAAATGCTCAAAAGAAATCAGAAGAAAACGAGTTAAAACCTAAATGTTAAACAGTAGATGAAATCATGCTTTAGAGCGAAAGCCTGCATGTGAAAAGATGAAAGAGGGGGAAATTAGAACGAATGTGGTTTTTAGGGTTCTCCACCTACACTTAAGTTTAAGAATGTTAAGCATAGCTCATTGAGTTTCAGTATGTTGAAATAGGGTGTGTCATAATTGATCGATTGAAGTTTAACAAATCATTATGGTTAGGGGAAGCGTTGAAATACAAAAACATGAAGATTTCCGTTTGACATCACACATGGTGGAGAACCAAGGTAAAGTTAAATTCATGTTTGAATATTTGAATGAATGTGAGTTTAAGCAGTGAAATAAGGAAAAGAAAATGATCGAAAACTAAAATACTACCGAGTATTAAGAAAGTGTAAATCATAATGTATTTGGAATATACTGATACTTATCTGGAAGGAAGAGAAAAAGATTGAATGACGAAGAACGACAGCAGAGAGGATCCTGTAAGAAGATATTGTATTGTAATCGTCTACAAAAATTATTGTAAAATTTTGTTAGGCAAAAGTTTGTTTTATGTAAACGGGGCTCTTGGATCTTAGGTCAGAATGTGAAAACTTTTCAGCAGGTCGTTTCTAGGACCTACTTCCAAGTTTGCCAAATTCTGGCAGCGGCAAATGTAGGGTTTATTTTAACTAACATTTATTTTAAGTTTAAGTTATCTTTCCTGTCTAGCCTTTACTTTCCCCTAGAATTGCCAATGCTAGAGCATGTAAATTGTAGTAGAGCCCGCAGTATGCAAATTTAGCGGAAGTAAGTTGAGTTTAAATAGAAAGGAAACGAGATTGTAGGTGTGCTACTTGAATCGCGAACGTGAACATTGCTCGGTAGAAATTTAGAACAGCGCGTGTCGGCCTGTGTGCCTAGCTCGGCAGATTTTACTAGATCTCTCAACTGCTTAATCAGTAAGCTCGCTGAATCTCAGCGGTAATTTAGAACGCAGTTGGGTTAGTTTAAGATTCTCAGAGCCTCGTGGATAGTGATCTTCGCTAGTTATTCATCCTAGTCATTATTTTTCAGTTCTACGTTCTGTTTCAGTTAAACCGCCGGGTCGGCGTAGTTTGTGAGCGTCAAGTGGACGCATCTGTTATTTTAAAAGTTGAATAAAAAGGGCTTTAAACCCTTCTTACGTTTCTGTGTAAATTCAAACTTAGTAGCAGTCACTACCAAAGTTTGCTGACAAGTTGGAGCCTCAAGATCTTACATGTTAATGAACTCATGTGAAAAGTTATACTGAATTGTGTTAATCAAATATACAAATACATTTTAAAGTACTGGATTTCATCCAGCGATTTTTATTTTATATTTCTTCATAATTACTTATACAACTTTAAAAGGAAATACGAACAATTATACTTTTTTATTACGCAAGCAAATTTAATCCATGGCGTTTTCACAAAAACTTAAGTAAAGTGGTTTGGCTTACTTTTTTGCATCCCTTTTTCATAGCAGCACAGTGCACGCTAATTATGCAATGAACTTGAATTCGTAATATCCAGACTTGGATATAAGTCATTACTCTGAGTTTTCGATTCTTCTAGAGATAAAGTGACTTTAAAGCAGATCTCTGTTTGTGTGATTACGTTATGTATTGATGTATTGTACTGTTGATGTATCATTTTTAAGCATTATTTCATTTTCATTATTACTGTATTATTATTAAGCTGATTTATTTTCTTTTATAGAAGTATTAACATCGTTTAATTATTCATGGTATATTGTAGTATTTTTATTATATAGCATTTATATTTTATATCTTTTCTTTACTCTCTCCAGATATCAATTTTATGTTTTTATTGTTGAATCTTCTTTTACTATGAGTTATTTACTAATATCTGTAAACCTCGTGGAATACTTCGTAGAACACGAGGATTTTTGTATTTGTATTCTTAATTAAATAATTTCTCCGAGAGACATTTTCTGCTCATGCTTCAAGTTCTCCTCTCCCACACACACTTATGGAAGGGTTTTCATTAATAGCAAATTTGCATATCGTTAGTTGCGCTGTTGTTCGAGATTAACGAGATCTCGATTGCTGAGCTGTTCAATACATATTGTGAGTTCAGTAACCCCTGCCCATTTACCAAGTCTACTTCATTGTAGTCTAATTCATGTCTAAGCATCTTTTGGCTACGCAAAAAGAAGCTGAGTGATATCCTTTTTCTGCCTGTAACTTATTTAACAAAGACGATTGGGTAGGTCCTTGTGATTAAACCTAAGAATCTGAATATATATAGTTTTAATTATAATTACAATTTCTATAAAAATACACAGTGGGTCCTACAAAGTTTTAGAACTTATGATTGCAACACATTTCAAAAACCTGCCAACACATAACTGGTAGCATCTATTATTATCGCATGCGTACGTTCAGAAATTTGTGCGCTTTAACAGCTTGTTTTAATCTGATAAGCATGTGCTGTCACGAGCTCGAAAACAGAGCAAAGAAGAGCAGGTTTGCTATAAACATAAAAAACAAAAATATTTTTCAAATAAACCGTGATTGGAGATGAAATTTGGTGCTTTACTAATAATCCTGAGGTAAACAGGCGGTTATTTAAAGAAGGTTCATCACGGCCATAGAAATCTCGAGACAAACATCAGTTATTTAAATTGGTTAAAGTAGATTCAACATGTCTGTACGCGCGCTAATGAACACTAATCTAATAGGCGAATGGCGCTGGGCATTTAATTAAGTTGTACGATAATTCTATTTGAGACAAGCGGCATCTAAAATTTTATAAGTAGTGGTTCAGTGATAATTCTATGATCAAAATACTCAATCTCGTTTTAAAAAATTTATTAAAATACCAAACAAATTAATCTAATCTAGAGTCTAATCTAATGTTACATCTCATCAGCAGCGTTCGAACTGCATCAAAACAAATCGAAAGTCAATTTCTGACTGTTGCCATTCCGAGGTAGAGAAATATGTCTATTCAAACCGGAACAATGTCCATAGAATAATTCCGATACGAAACGGCAGACATCTGATTTGGATGGAAGAGATTGATATCGGCCACAAAATAATTCAAAAACAAAACGACAATCTCAGTATGATCACTGCTTCCAACGGTAAATCAAGTCAATTAAAAAAAATTTAAAATATTTTTGTTCGTAAGTAATCCTGTAGCTTAACCAAATGCTAGTCATGAGATTTATTATTCAGTCTTGACTTCTGTGTTTTTTAGCTGCTGCTCCAAGGTTCCTTCGACAGGAAGAAGACTCAACCTATGCTATAAGGGGACATCCTGCTAGGATAGAGTTCTGGGTATACGGTTATCCTCAACCTAAGATCACTTGGTATTTCAATAACACCCCTGTAAGTAGATATTTTTAGGAATTTTGATTATTATTTCTAAAAATAAATAAAACGTTTATGATATTTTACTGAAATTTATCTTTCATTTTTTCATCCTTATTGTAAATGCTTGCATTCAATTTTCCTTACAAGGAAAATTATTGGATTTTCCTATGACAATCGTCAAGAGACTTTCAAGGCTGATCACGAATATGAATCAAACAAAAGTGCAGAAGGTGACATTTTGCAATCACCCGCAGTAGTAGCAGCTGCAGCCAATGTATTTGTTAGGATCGAAACTCTTTTATAGGCTACGAGTTCCATGTTATGCACTTTCTGGAATTTGATGTATATATGTTGGCGAATTCATGTTACTTTATATTCCATTGGGCCTATTTGTCGGGCAAGATGCCACGCATTTGTTTATGTCCGAAGTAATTATTTTTAATAAATATTGGATGCGAGGTGTACGGTGGGGCTGCACGATGTACCATAAGAGGTAAATTCTAGACCTCCTGGAAAGCTTCAGTTGCTCATTTCCTCAACCTCTCTTTGTATACTGTTGTAAGAGTTTACGCTAATAACATTGTAGACTATTATTCATAAGAGTTACAAAGTTATTAGAGTAAGTAGTAGAGTAGTTAGTCAAGTTATCAAAGTAAGTAGAGTTATTTAAAGTTGTAGAGACATTAGGTAATTTCGAAGCATTAGAGATTAAAAATAAGCAATGCCCTCACCGGAACTCGAACCACGGACCTCTCGAATTCGCGTCGAGCGTGCTGACCACTACACCACGAAAGCATGCTAAGAAGGCGGTAGAAACACCTTATAAAGGTATAAGAGTTTACAAAGAGTTTGTTTCATTTTTTTAGGGTTAATTAGTATGGAAGGGCATTACCACTTGACCCATGGTACATCGCTGGCGTTCCCCACATTTTTACCTGTACCTGACCTGTTGCATGTTATCTTGTATTTTCTGGGAATTGTTTCTAGACATTTTTGTTCCTTCTACAAGATGAATAACTTCCGTGCTAATCACTTATCAGTGTAAGTTAGAATCACCTAGGGTGTTAACTAATTATGTCTCATCTGCATCAATACTACTACAGCATTTAGTTAATCATACTATAGAGTCTCCAAGGATATTTTGAAGCACGGAACATGAAAAATGAGCAACGCCCTCGCCGGGACTCGAACCTAGACTTCTCGAATATGCGCCGAGTGTACTAACCGTTACGCCACGAAGGCATGCTGAAAGGAGGGAGAAAATTCCCCTTATATGCTCCTGGCTGTTTTGGTAACGTCTCTCGTACGTTGTTGCGTGCTGTCCGCTTCACGCGGTAATTCTTAACAGCCTAAACTTATATATTTCTGGAATGGCCTATTATGACCATAAGACCAATTTTTTTTGGTTAGGTGGTTCGGGCTGCCCCCACTTCTGTACCTTATATATTTCCTCTTTTAAAAGGCTACTGGGCTTCAGGAGACCCAGTCGCCAAATCTTGGAGGTGAAGAATCATCATTCACCACCTTTCTCTTCGGGAGCCACTTTAGAGTCTCTTGGATTATTTTGAAGCAAAGAACATGAAAAAGGAGTAATGCCATCGCCGGGACTTGAACTTGTACCTCTCGAATACGCGCCGGTTGGGCTAACCGTTACACCACGAAAGCATGCTGAAAGGAAGGAGAAAATAACCTTATAATACCGACGGGCCTTAAAAATGAAGGGGGAACACCCTTGCAAAAGAGGCTGCTACTGAGGTAAATATAGAAAGAATAGATTATCGGGGATCTAAACAGAAAGCAATAAGGAAAATAGATCTAAATAGTATAAAGAATGGACTAAAAATGGAAAGACGCAAACCGTAGAAAGGACTACTTAGGAAACATTGAAATTTCGAAAAAAAGGAAAACCATAACCGATAGTCAGATCCTTTCAGGTCACGGTAGATTCCCGGCATCCCTAAACAGATTTAAAATTCAAGAAAACGTGAACTCTTTACTTTGCGGAAAGCTGCGAAATAACAGACACTATGTGGAAGAATGTGAATTAACGAAAGACCTTAAAAGTAGCAAGGACTTCAAAGACCTGGTTTATAGTATAAATGAAGCAAAAATCACAGCAAAAGAGATCCTGTAAAGAATTAAGAATTAATAAAAACCTGGTCGCTTTTGGAACACCCAATATGGCTGTAGCTGGAGACTTCGTTTATTTATCTTTTGTTGTCCTATATGTTTTTCCTTCGTGACCAGTCTAGAAAATCTATAAGGCGAGTCTGGGCTTGCCAGGAGGTGGACCTACCTCCCTTATATAAGTGTATGCTTATTATTTCCCAGCACTCCTTCTTGGTGGTCGAAAACGCCCGTGCTCTGTGCCACATTACTAAAGCAGTCGTCACTACCATATGCTGTGTATCCCATTTATCTTATGACACAATGAGCGCACTCCAGTTTATGTTATTTTTCTGGGAGTTACGAGTAAATATGAGTTAATCCACACTTCGCATACATTTTCATGTGTTTGTTTCCCCTGAAAGATTACTGACAGTTCTCATCCAGAAGTCCGATAGCTTTCCTTGTTAATGAAGGTCTTTGTATTTCCTTTATTTATATATCTCCTTAATATTCTTCCTGGTGTTCGATTTCATATTTCTCAAACAACTTCCTCCTTGGACATTAATTAATGTAAAAATGCATTTAGAGATCATGCCTATAAATTTAATGGTTAACAATCTATTACGAAGTCTCTTGTAAAAATAACATGCTTTCATAGTATAATACCCCACAAACAAGAACATTAATCAGGAAGAAAGCTTACTCCTGTTAATTGGCTGTCTCCAAAATAATTTGGAATCGGCAAGCTTGTTTCCAAATAGGGCTGCTACTTCCGGTAGCTTGCAGAATCTCACTCTTTTGGTAATATACACTAAGTCGAGGCTCCGTAAGGGATCCAAGCAACTAATCGCTTTTTCCAGTAATCAGGCGGAGGACGTAAGAAGAGTGTAAAAGACCCTTTTATTATTAAGAACTCAATTAATTTAAAAAACACTTCGTGGTCAAACACGAGAATTAGCAACTCAAAAAAGAATTTAAACATGTTAGTTATTACATACAAAAAATGCGCGCAAGAAAGTTAACGGCGTTAACCAGCACCTTACATGTATTACCAACACCCAATAGTACTGGCCAATATACAGAAGATACAATAAAGGCAATCATGTCAGCAGTCTTCACCACAGACAATCCGCAAGAAGACACATTAGAACAGACCACAATCAGGAACCAGCCCTCAGAAATTGCTACACATCAAATGATCCTTACTTCACAATCAGGGAGATTCAGCAAGTGCTGCGCCAGCTTCCCCAGCGCAGAGCACCAGGACCGGATGGTATTGACTACCGAATTATTAAAGCAATTATAAGCACTAATGTAACTCTATTTCAATCACTCTTCAATAAGCTCCTGCAAACGGGGACATTCCCTAACAGCTTCAAAATTGGGCAAGTGGTCTTATTTTTGAAAAAGAATAAAGATCCAACGTCTCCAGAGTCGTACCGTCCAATATGTCTACTTTCAGCTTTGGGGAAGGTTTATGAAAAGCTGATCATGACAAGATTGCGGCATCATCTATATGTTACGAAATACTTAAGCCCAATACAATATGGGTTTAGTCCAGGACAGTCTACTTTGCATGCGCTTACAGAAGTTAAGAATCAAATCCTAGAAAATAGGTCTGCTGGCTATCACACAGCGTTTATTTCCATCGACTTAAAAAGCGCTTTTGACACGCTGTGGTGGCCAGCGGTTCTTCAAGCCCTGCGCCTAAGTAAATGCCCAAGAAATATCTATCTTACTTTGGAACACTACCTTTCTGACCGATTGCTAATAGTACCCCATAATAGTGGTATGGTAGTGCAAAATCAAAATCAAGGATGCCCGCAAGGCTCGTGTGCTGGGCCGTTTCTTTGGAATATAACATTCAATGGTATATTAACCAATGCGTGGCCAGAGCACACGCGCATCATTGCGTATGCCGATGATACTGCACTCATCGTTCGGGGTAGAACAAGAGAACAACTTCAGACCAACGCCCAAGAATCCTGCTCGCTATTTCATCAGAGATGTGCAGAAATTAAACTCAAGATATCTGAAGCAAAGTCACAAATACTTCTAGTTCCCAAAAAGGGAGGTACGCTCGCAAGACAACCAAAAATAACTTTGAATAATCATCGACTTCGAATTGTTAAAGAACTGAAATACCTAGGAATAGTATTTGATATCAAACTAAATTGGATACCACATATTATGGAACTGAAGAAGAAGACGCTGGGAATAGCTCAGCAACTTAAGTTTATGAAAGGTCACGAATGGGGCCTTAACCCGTACATACAGAAGGTACTGTATAAAACAGTAATTGAAAAAATTGTTACATACGGGGCGGCAGTTTGGTCATTACCTATGCAAGGTCGCAAGATAAAACATCTCTTAAGCATACAACGACCGTTCTTACTGAATATTACCAAGGCATTTCGTACTTCCCCAACTAAAGCACTATGTGTATTGACCGGTCTGTCACCGTTGCATCTTAGTGTGGAAAAAGAAGCTACTTATCAAACAGTCGCCCAATTAGGCCAATCAGCAACCTTTCATGAGGATAATTATTTCCTAGCGGAATATGAGAAGAAGTTGATCCGGCTATGTGATCATCCAGCGAAACAGTGAAAAGGGGTGAACATTAATATCAAGCAAAATGCCAACATAACGGATGCTCACAGGCTGTGCCTACATAGTCCTGCGAAACCTGGATACACTAACACTTTGGAAAGTTCACCTAGATACCAATAATAGTGTGTTCCAGAGTGAGGTGTTAGCAATTGACCGGGCACTAACCCACATCATACAGCAGCAACATAATGGAAGCTTCATACTGACAGATAGCTTATCGTCTCTGCATGCACTTTTAAATCCAGTGCACTTTTACCCGCTCATAGCAGACATACAGTCGAAATTACATGACAACA